CGCCCCCTCCCCCGCCGACGGCCCAGGCACCCCCGATGTGGGCCTCGCAGTCCCATGTGGCCCCCCCGCCTGGGCAGATCGTCCAGCAGCAGCCCCAGCCCGCCTCCGCCGACGAGGTCCGTACGCTATGGATCGGCGACTTGCAGTACTGGATGGAGGAGACCTATCTCTACAATATTCTCATTCACACCGGCGAGGTTCGTGCCTTATCTTATTTATTTTTGTTTTCAATGCTGAAAGTTCTGATTATTATTTATTAGATCTCTGGTTTGCCTTATATCAACCCAAGGAAATTCCTTTATAAAAAAAATTGGTTTGCCTTCTATTTTAGGTATGTTTCTGTGTATTTAGATAGTGATGGCTTATAGGTATACAAATGCGTTCTGGTATTCATACAATATTTACTTTTTTTTTTAATGATGCGTTTGTGCTTTCAGCTTGTTTCTGTGAAAGTCATCCGCAATAAGCAAACTACACAATCAGAAGGTTATGGATTTATTGAATTCAATAGCCGCGCTGCTGCAGAAAGAGTACTTCAGTCGTACAACGGTACCCCTATGCCAAATGGTGCCCAGAATTTCAGATTGAACTGGGCATCTGCAGGGGAGAAGCGTTCTGATGATACCCCTGATTATACCATATTTGTTGGAGACTTGGCGTCTGATGTGACGGATTACATGCTTCAAGAAACATTCCGGGCCCGTTTTCCCTCATGCAAGGGTGCCAAGGTTGTCATTGACAGGCTCACAGGGCGCACCAAGGGATATGGGTTTGTTAAGTTTGGAGATGAGTCCGAACAGTTGCGTGCCATGACTGAGATGAATGGAGTTCTCTGCTCAACAAGGCCAATGCGAATTGGGCCAGCTGCTAACAAAAATGCTGGGGGTAGTCAGCAATATTCAAAAGGTATAGTCTTGATGGTTTCATGTATGTGTGGTTTCGTTGTGGCTGTCTGTGAAATTCTCTTGTGTTGTGTTTTGCGAAGAGAGAACAAGTATTTTAATTGGGTTTCCTTTCTCTATGACTAGTATTCCTTTACTCGTTTTTTCCAATACACGTTACTAACTTGAATATGGAATGGTGAGGCAATGTATTCCAGTTCTGATATGGTATCCAGTGTGCCAAACAATACTTTTAAGTTGGCTAAGTTTGCTTCCTTTCAGCTATACTCTCGAAGATGAGCAGTACTTTCCAAGTCATTTAATTCCTATAATTTCTTTAAAAAATTTGGGCAAGGTAAATGATATTAAAATCTCGAGAACTAAAAGAACTCCTGTTGTCTCAAAGCAGGGCGTCAGGAGGCTCTGTCATCTAAGGGCCTGCTACTGATTTCAGCTGAAATGGTTTCCCCTTTAGTGCGTGGCCTCGCTTAGGTCAGTTTCCCATTTAATGTATTGGCCTTTATTCTGATGTGGCATTTGTCATGCTACATTTTCGAATTTTAATCTTTTTTTCCAGCGCGTTCAGTTGGTTCAACTTTCAATAAGTTACATATTGTGACTGTTCTAGTTTCACTCGAGCATGTTCCCACTTTACTGGTAGAGAAGTTCGCTTGTTTTTTTTAGTAATATGTCCGCTAAATTTACATCTGTGATTCCTTATGTATCGTACCCTTCTTCCATTTAGTTAAATTTTATTGTTCCCCCTTGTGATCCACATATTTCCTAATTTTGATTAATCTTGTAGTCTTTAATCCCTGAGAAAGGGTTCTGGAAGGAGTGCATGTTGCAACTTACAACTCACTGGAACTTACTGCACCTAGCAGGCTGGCCATCATTGTGAATCTTGCGTTATAATTTAGTCTTTGTCATGATATGACTAGGATTTACCATGGTAATATAAGCCAGACTGGTCTCGAAGTCTGTTCGACCGAGATAACCATGCATTGCTACTTAATTTAGGTTGGTTGATTCATTGGACCAAATTTGTGAACTGGATAATTCCATGTAGATAGGAATGTTACTTGGGAAGCTGGTAAAGAACTAGTTGGTGCAACTGGTTAAACAACTTTGACATCCAAATAAGTAGGTTTTACATGCTAAGTTTCAAACCTCTGACCCAGTAGCACATGGAGAAATGTGGCACCACCATGAGTATACGGTATACCCATGATTTGCCAGTCTTTGAACAATCCTTTTCCATGTTTTCTTTTGTACAGTTAAACACCAGTCAATAACTCCAACCGTTATTTTGCTTGTATGCCAAGCCTGGTATCTTCTCTATTTTGTTTTGGCATTAGCCTTGGCAAACAAAATTCTGACCTGTTTTTTCTATGGTAATATCGATTGTTAACTGTGGTCATCCATACTGATGGAAACTCGTATTCAGATTAACAACTTTTTCTATTTTTTCTTCTGTCTGATTTTATTTAACTAATGAGTCGGGCTTGCTATTGGCCTCTCTTACCTGGTTTAATGTGCATTACAGTTTCACACCATATGTTGGTTAGACCAAATAGATTGTGTTCGTTTAGGGATTAGCAGGTTGGCATTAAAAGCCTCGTCCTCATTATTTTTCAGCACATACAGGTGCACATGCATATGGTTTTCTAGTGTGTATGATGCTTGTCTCTTACCATTGGTGCAAGGTGGATAGATGATATTAATTCTGAGACTTAGTCTTCAAATTGTTATGAGAATGTCTTCTTTGATTTGTTCAACAATGCAAGTACTAAGAAACACAGTGAGCATCCCGTGAGCATTCTTGAATTGTATTAGGATAGTGGCTATTTGTATTTTTGGTCTGTACCTATAGGATATTGGCAGCTGATTTGTTTATATTCTTTTTGTTCATTTTGCTTCTTTTTCTTTGTTGGGAGAAAGAATAGCCAGCAAGTTTGTCAGCTTGTCTCCTCTGGTGTTCCTTTTTTAGATTGATAGGATCAGGGGTTGTAAACTGTTGTTCCAAAAGTATCTCAGCTGTTAGTTGAACTTTTCCACATGCAGGTTCATATCAGAATTCTCAAGGTTCAAAGAATGAGAGTGATCCAAACAATACAACTGTGGGTACTTTTTGGAATTTTCCTTTGGAAATCACTTAGCAACATATCTCTGACTTTGATGATTTCTGCTGCAGATATTTGTAGGTAACCTGGATGGTAATGTTACTGATGACCATTTGAGACAAGTCTTCAGCCAGTACGGCGACCTAGTACATGTGAAGATACCAGCGGGCAAGCGATGTGGGTTTGTTCAGTTTCAAGACAGGTAGGCAGATCTGCTGATAGTCTTCTTTTTGGAGATGTTTTATGATGGGATATCACAGAAACTAACTATTCTGTTTTGTATTTATGCATCAGAAGCTGTGCTGAAGAAGCATTGCGCGTGTTAAATGGATCTCAGCTGGGTGCACAAAATATCCGTCTTTCATGGGGCCGCAGTCCTTCAAACAAGCAGGTGCTTTGCTTTCACTTGACATTTATAACTTGGAAATTTGCAGATTCCCCCTGAACTTGACTGATATGTCTATGTTGGCTTTTTCAGCCTCAGGCAGATCCAAACCAATGGAATGGTGGTGGCTACTATGGATATGCACCTACTCCCGATGGTTATGGGTACGCCCAAGTTTCTCAAGACCCTAGCATGTACTATGGAGGATATCCTGCTGGGTACAGTAATTACCAACAGCCGTCACAGCAGCAGCAGCAGCAAGTGGGATATAGCTGAGTGTTGAGAGCGTTTTTCAGTGTTCACTAGAGACCGATAATAATATTGTGATACTGTTTGAGGCTGAACATCTTTCTATGTTTTATGAGAAGTACTTTTTGCGATGTGATCTTGTATTGCCAAGATTGCATGTTACTTGTGGAAAGCCTTCTGGAATATCTATTTATAGTTTTGCAAGCTCTGTTTTAATGACCCACTGTTTTTAAAATTGGAACAATTTTCTTTGAATTATAGTTCCATGCAGTCTGTCGAGGCCATAGTCATGAATCTGTAAGGTTTCAACAAGAGCTACGAACAAAGAGCAGAGTCGATCGAGATTGCAAAGAAAGCTTTCAAGCTGTTTAAAACCAGTTTTTCTTAGGTTCTTTGTTTAATTCAAGTGGCGAGGAAATAAAGCAATTGGAGAGGCCAAAAACAAAATTGTATAGCCGCGCGGCTATACTACTTAAGTATTGATTTATTTAAAAGGTATAGCCGCACGGCTATACTCTTTTACTTTATTTAAAATGTATAGCCGGTCGGGTACCGGCTGTACTCGTTATATATTAATTTGTTAAATATTATAGCCGGGCGGCTATACGCTTTAAACTCTTTAAATATTAATTTATTTAAAAAGTATAGCCGCTCGGCTGTACTCGTTAAATATTAATTTATTTAAAAGGTATAGCCGTGCGGCTATACGCTTTAAGTATATGAAAATTCAAAAGTGTATCATTCCGAGGCCACAAAACCCTAGCAAGGGGTTTGTAGATCAAAAGTGTACCTTACGCGTATTATATTTTATATATTTTAGCTTAATCTTAATAAGGGTATTGTTGGCACTTTGCCAAAAAAGATTGACAATGGGCTTCTCTTAATTATTTAGTATTTTACGAGAAATTGATGGAGTGATCCTTCAATTCAAACAACCCAGTAAAGTTTTATGGAACGGCGAACCAGTTTTAACTTATTTTGGCTCTTTGGTCATTTTCGACGCACCTTTGTTACTTTAAAATTTAATGATTGATCTGTGCTTGAAAGGTAATGAAAGGCTGAACTTCTTGTTGTCAAGCATCGAATTTGTTTGTAAATTGTAAATTTGAACATAGGAGGCATTGAAGCATTCAACAAAATACTTTGTATGAATGAACTAGATTATGAAATCTGCTCATGTTTCTCAAGTATTTTGTGTTGCATGATTGCAACGTTTGTAAGACAACTAGTTACATCTGTGAATTTGAATACTAGGTTATGGCATTCAGTTATGATTGAAATATTTGTATGAATGAACTATGTTATGATCTCTTCCCACAATCATAATTTGTCAAAGCGAGAGTAACAGCGACCGATCAAAAATTTGCAGCACCTCAAATCCCTATAAACTTCTGTTTCTTGGCTGTGTTCATGTATCGCTATTCATCCCGGGCTTCAGTCTGATCCAGTCTTCCCATCTTTATCTGCAACATCATAGACAGAAACCTCAGGTTCAACTTAAACCATTTTGGCCAGGCCAATTTAAACATTTAACTTGATTTGTCTAATAACTACTCTTGGTCTTGGAGAATAACCACCCACCCTTTCCCAACAATTTTTTTAGGAGAAAGGGTAGGGCCATAGGGAAGAAAGGCTAAGATGTTCATGCTTCAATGGGCAAAACCTACCATTCCGCAAATGCCTGAAACCTTAGAACCAGACATATTGAAGCATTTTGGGTGCGGTATGAAACAATACAAAAGGTGCACAGACATAAAGGCAAAAAGACTAAAAATAGAAAAATATACACAAAACAGTAAATTAAATTGAATAAAAGAGAGCAACTGTGATACCAATGCAAGAAGCACAAATCCTTGACCGTACAGGTATAACCTTGAAAAGCTCCATTTCAAACCGAGGGCCAATCTCCTCCAGCTCGATGGATTTAGGACCTCCATGCTTCCCATAAGTATGATGCCTGTAGGTTCTCAGTTTGTTAACGGAAAAGCAAAGCAACATGTGCACATTTAGCGAAGAATAGAATCACAAATAAGAAAACTCACTTACTAAATCAATACCTAAAGACACAGCAGGGAAAATAAAAGCACAAATGAGACAACAAACCTGAATGAAATCTAGTCCGACCGACTGGAAAAAATGATTATGCGTTTTGTATCTGGCTTTGGCACTGGAAAGAGATGCTTCAAAATATTTGCTATCTCTCACTCAACTATCAATACATCAGGAAGAGAAAAGATAATATAATATTATGTTAATAGGGTGATAACTAAGAAGGCCAACTCAGAAATAGGAGTGACGTATTTATACATAAGATTAAGGTTATATGCAAACCCAAAATAATAAGCCATCAGGATAGGTTATTAATACAGACAAGCACCAAAATAAACCAGCAGAGGATAAAATGGTGATTCAAAGGGTGAGACTCCTCAAAATTTCAGTCAGTAGTTAATTCATGAAAACAGTACTGGTCATTTATTTGCAGAACAATTATAATCTGTGAACAATGCTATTAATCCATAGGGTCTTATCTTTCTTCACAAATATACCGTGTAATGAGAGCAATCAAGACGAAGATGCCTTGGTCGTGAAATTGTCAAGAATCAAATGTGGATAAACCTGCAGCATCGTTCCCATAGCTTTCTTGTCCTTGATGTAATGTCTTGTAACCTATTAAGTAAAATATTTTCAGCAAAATGCCCAAACTATTAAGTTCAAGCAGAAATACAGTAAAAAAGCAACAAGGTCAAAAAAGGATCAAGCTCATAAATCTCATTAATTTAACGGGTTTAAATTTCAATGTTCATCATGATTGGCATACTTCAATTGTCACTATCAGCTCTTCCTATTAATTTCTTTGCACTAGGAAGCTGATGCTTTTATATTGAAAAAAATTTATAATCTTTTGACCATCATTCTTCTCTTTCACTTTTAAAAACTCTATCTCTGCCACAATTTTCCTATGTTTTGCTGCTGAAGAACCCTAGAAAATTGTTGTCTGGATTCTTTTTCTGCAGTCCTAAGTCAGTTTTAACATCAAATATTTATTTTACATTAACACAGATCATTACACTACTTACCACATTGAGAAGTTCAAAAAAAGCCGTTGGACCAAAGGGAAGGTGGATTATAAACAAACCATCAGGTACACCACGATTTTCGTGAACCAACACAACATCTGTAATATCATGTGCACGGCAAGTTTCAATAATTTCAGAAATAACCTGCAGGGTTTGGGAGGAAAAAAAAAAACTTATTGTCAATTAGATAGTCTACTGTGGAAAACAGACCAAGGGATCAGAACTATGGCAGGTATATCCTCAAATGTGATACGTCATCGAGAAAGAATTCTAACATCTGAGATAAATAGAATAACATCATAAAAAATTGAAGCAGTCATTTGCCTGGAAAAAGATATTCACCATGTTCTCAAATGTAGGGGTCAATCTAGACATAATCGCAACACCAGATAAATGGTGAACATAAAAGACTGAACAAACTGAACTGAAAAATCGAAGGAAAATATGTGCCAATGACGGAATGTGGAGTAGCATGTGGTTAACGATGTGACACATAACAGAAGCAAATAACAATTCCGGGGGAGCTTTTTTAATTTCTGGTGCCTATGGAAAAGTTGAAATGACAGAGCTTTGGGGTCTATGATACTTTTATGGACTTAGAAACACAACCTGTACATTAATATTGTTAGAAGAAACACTAGTCCAGCCACTTTATTACTAGTGCAACGATTAGGTTGATTTTTACAAGGTAAGTGGAGTTTTCTCTTAGCAGGTCTTGCATTTATGAGTTCATGTTAAGCAAATAGCAATTAATCCTAATTGATTAACTTCATAGTAGGCTCAATTTCTGTTACTGGTGTAACACCCCCTACAACATAGTTTTTTTTATAAACAAGGGAGGGGGCATTCCAACTTGGGATCTCTTCCAACATTAGGAAGAGAAACACCAGTAGACTAAGAGCTAGTCGGTTCCCTACAACATAGTTAAAATGGTGAACAAATTATTTTCAAAAACTAGATGTCCACATAAAAAATAGAACTGTGAAATAATTCACTGTTGCATTCATATAAAAGATTCAACAGATCAGGGTTCTCAACAAGCCCACAGGAAGAGGAGACCGAACAGCCCAGCCCAATCTCACAAACACTCCTAGCACCAAAACGTCCCACGTACCTAAGTCCTAATTTCCAGACTAAACCCCTGAGTCCTGGGCATATATTTGATATCAATGTAAGAACAACAAAAGCAAAACTTGGAAAACGCACATCAAGAAACAGAGGATTTATGTAAAGACAAATAGGGAAGAAAAATAAGCCGAACAAGTTCGAGAAAAAAAGTTCACCAACCCGGCCACCACGGTTCATTTGTTGTGCATTAGGAAAAACAAGTTTCAGTTCCTACAACAATGTTATGTGAACCACAATGTCACTAACCAAAACCAAATTTGCATAATATGACCAAACAAAGTGAACACAAAAAGTGCAGCTAGATGAATAAGAAATTGAACCAGGCTAAACCAACCTTTGCAAATTGTACTAACGGAGCACTCGGATTCCAGGAAGCAGTTATCAAAATCTTGGGATCTCTTTTTGCTGCCTTTGCATACTCATCGTCGATATGTGTCCTTGATACTAGGATTCAGAAACGAAAACCATGAAGAATTGACCACATGATAAAATGTAAAACTAAAAATTTCAGGGCAGTTGGATGTTAAGAATATTTCGAGTTTTTATTTTAAATTATAGAAGAATACTAACCTTTCCTACTTTCTGTTTAGTACATCAAGAATAAAAGGTTTCTACAGCATCCAAAAACCATGTACCATGTGATCAGTTTGTGTAAACCCTCATCTTTGTTCCCATATTTTCATAGAACAAAAAGTTGCCACATTTTCATAAAACAAAAAGGACATTGGCGGTCTAGACAACCAAAGAACACTCATGCCAGCAGAGTTCTCATCTTCGAGATCGATTTCTCGACGAAGCACCGCCTCTTCATTCCGAAGCTCAGTGGGAATCGGTTTTCCCTCTGCAACAAATTAAGTAGAAAAAAACAAAACTTCAACTGCAAACACAAAGATAGAGGGGAACCTTGCAGAGCTTCTCTAATCTTGCGCTTCTTCTCGTAGATAAGGCGTTCTTTGCCTTCTAAGCTATTTCTGTACAAATATTTCCTCAATCTAGTATTTCTTCTCAACATAATTGATCCCACTCCTATGGTTCAGGAATGGTCATGCCGGCCAGACGGTAGAGTGAAGGCTGCTACAACTTCTGCCTTCCTCTATCAAAAAGAATTGAGTTCATCTCTACCCGTCGTTTTGAAAACAAAAAATGAAATTGTTTTTGAAAGTCTTGTTTCCTATTGGGCTTGAAAACCTAATGTCACTTGTTATGCGACAGGCCCAGATTGCCAGATTAGAGGCTTCTATAATCTACTACTACCTTCGTGCGCTCTCTCTCTCTCTCTCTCTCTCTCTCTCTCAGTTACACATACAGCTTCGTCGCTCTGATCTCTTCTTCCGACGAAAACGTTTCAGTGGCGAGGTAAAGTCTTCTCTCTGTTCATCGGAGCTTCGATTCGCTTCACTTTTGTCGCTGACCAGACAAATATTTAGTCTTTTAACGATACAATATCTTTTTGATGTTTTTGTCATTGCTATTTCTTCTCTTTGCTTCTAGACTTTGCTTTTTTCTGGTTTTGGTTTGTTTCTGTTTTCTCTAGTTCAATTTCATTGCCTTTTGATCGACCGTACATTGTAGAAAATAACTGCATTGTCAAAGATTTGTTCTTTCTCTCTCTTTTTAAATTTCCGAATTGAAGTGGAAGAAAATTGTTCATATGATACGAACCTTGCTTCATGCCATTGTTGTTAAAGATGTATAACCTTTGAGGAAATTCTTCTTGGCAGGGCTAGCGTGCTCGATGGACATAATCTCCCAACTACAGGAACAAGTCAACACAATTGCTTCTCTTGCCTTCAATACCTTTGGAACACTACAAAGGGATTCTCCTCCAGTCAGACTTTCACCAAATTACCCAGAACCACCTGCGAATCCGACGGAGGATGCAGAGAATTTTGCTGAACAAGCCAAGCTCATGAGTGCAGCTCTGGTTAAGGCTGCTAAGCAGGTGCATCATTTTTCTGTGTTTGATAATCTACTATTATCATGAATCATGATCAACTAATCAAAATGTTGTTACTTAGTTTTAGCTTGTTTGCGGTCAAATTGTTAACGGCATAATCCTTCTCTTGTCAGTGCAATCCTTTCTTTTCGTTATGTGATATGATTTGATGTGCCAAGAACATCTCATTTATCAATTTGATTCATCCGCTTCTTGAGTTGTTCAACTAAGATACTACCGCCACTGATTCTTGCACAGTTTGATGCATTAGTTGCAGCACTTCCATTAGCTGAGGGAGGGGAAGAAGCACAGCTGAAAAGGATTGCAGAACTGCAGGTATGGAGTTCACACATTTCTGCATCCAAGGTCTTCATATTGTTTCATTTGACTGGACTTTGTACTCCTTCTTTCTTAAACTTTTGGTGAAATTGTTTAGGCTGAAAATGACGCTGTTGGCCAAGAACTTCAGAGGCAACTGGAAGCTGCAGGTGTATCTTTCCCTTCCATCTTGCTGTTTTTATCATACTTGTGCTCTTGAGAACTACTACCTTTCACTAAATATACAAATTTGTCATGAGCTTTTTTCTATGGTTCATGGTGCTTGCGCCAGATTATTTATCTTTGTTCTTGTTATGACTCTGATAACTAACAAGTTCAATCGTATTGTGATGTCAGAGAAAGAATTAATGGAGGTCCGTGAATTGTTCAGCCAAGCAGCAGATAATTGCTTGAACTTGAAGAAACCCGATTAAAGACGTAGTGTCTTCTGTAAATGTAAAACAATCTGTAATCTCTCAGGTCTCCCTGTTCAAATTTTCATGACAGCTTCAACTTTTTTTTTGAAAACATTTATAAATTATGAACTCCTAAATGCTTAGAGTTTGGTCTTATAACAAATGAAAAGAGGTGATTCTTGTGTATGTTTTGGCTTTTGTTGTTTAATATACCGCATGACCAGGAAGGGACATAATAACCTCAACAATACGATGACAACCCATCTACTTGAGGAGATGGTAAAGATGGGTGTGACCAATGACCATTGTGATTATGGGTGAAGAAATAAAATAAACTAGTTAATTAACACTAATAACTCGATCATAATTAACGTTATAGAGGCGAGAGTAACCAAACAAAGATGAGTTTAAAAGATTTGTTTCTTCTATGCAAAAAATAAAATAAAAGATTGTTGTGTAACGTGTTTCAGGACATCCTTTCTACTTATGTTACCATTAGCAAGGGTGGTCATCTCAAGCCGATTCAATATCAACTTTGATTGATCCATCTGAGAATGACACATTTCATTGAGTCAGAAAATTTGATTTTCAGCTCATTCCTTGGTTAAGCCTTAAAGATATCCCATTCTTTTAACATATTAATAAAAGAACCCAGTCAAAATCCAACCAAACATTCAGCTTAACAAAAAAAACAATATGTTGGGGCCGCCTGCTGCAATATGATTTTCCGCTCATATTGCGTCATGGAATTTATCATTTATCAGCATCCAAGTTCTAACCTGTCCTGTAGTACCAAAAGGAACGCATTTTCCAGACGCACAAAGCGACCTGAATGCAGGTCACCCTGCATTTGATACTTAAACACCGCACAAAGCAAAACATGATTTGGAAAAGAGAAAACCAAAAAGTATAGAAACTTCTTAGTTGCCTGCAAGAAAGCCCTTCAAAGATAATGGAGGGATAACCATCAAACAACTGAACAAGTACCAACATCATCCAAACGGTAAAAATTGGAACCAGACTGAAATGAATAAACTGATAACAAAAACCATAACCATCCTTAGCTGTCAATAGTAAAGAAAGTCTGACACTATAGCTGTGTCTTTGCCATACTCCTATGAATTGAAACCATTAGCAACTACTTTTACCTGTTTATTCCTAGAGCCTTGATACGGCATGCATCATCCGTCTACCTCTCCTGCTTTTTCTGTCACAAACAGAACTCAGACCCAACCACATTGTTTGATGCTACAAGATGGATCTAAGATTGTGTAGGTGGAATGACATCTTCGACATCACAATCCACATTGCTAATGGCACCAGAAGAACTAGAGATTTGAGGTTCAACCATTCCTCGAGGAATAGATCCTTCAGATACAAGCTTCAATTCAGATGGAACAGTCTCTTCCCCAAACCTCTGGCTGGGCTTTGGTGCAGGGTAAGCCTGTTCTTCCATTAAGATTGTGTAGGTGGAATGACATCTTCGACATCACAATCCACATTGCTAATGGCACCAGAAGAACTAGAGATTTGAGGTTCAACCATTCCTCGAGGAAGAGATCCTTCAGATACAAGCTTCAATTCAGATGGAACAGTCTCTTCCCCAAACCTCTGGCTGGGCTTTGGCGCAGGGTAAGCCTGTTCTTCCATCACAATGTCGACTGGTTTACTGGCTAGATCAGAAGACACACATGCAGGTTCAGCAAATACAGGAGTTTGGTTGAGTTCGATATTCAGGCTCTTTGCCACATCATGAACCAATGCAATCTTTTCAGGACGCACATCCACAGCTTGAATTTGAGAATCCTTACATATGGTTTCAATGCCTGGTATCACAGCAACTGGTGCAGATTCAGAAAATACAGGAATTTGGTTGAGTTCAAGATTCAGGCTCTTTACATCATCATGAACCAATGCGCTCTTTTCAGAATCCACAGCCTGAGGTTGAATTTGAGGATCCTTACCTACGGTTTCATCAGCTGGTGTGACACCAGTTGCTGCAGGTTCAGCAACTACAGGAGTTTGATTGAGTTCAAGATCAAGGCTCTTTACTTCATCATGAACCAATGCACTCTTTTCAGAATCCACAGCCTGAGTTTGAATTTCAGGATCCTTAAATACCGCTTCAATGCCTGGTATGTCAGAAACTGGTTTAGATGCTGATTCGGTTTTTGATGCTTTGTTGGCCTCTGCACTATTTGGTCCTTCCATTATTTCGGCTGCTTCAACTTCCTCCAACACTTTATTCTGTTCAACAACGTTATTAAGCTCTGACAGTCGCATTGCAGGGGCAGATTGGCTATGAGTTAGAGGCTCCAAAATTTGCTGTGGCATGACTTTTCCTTCCAATGAAGGGCCTACATCATTCTTCAGCAAATTATCAACCGGAGGAATCATAACAGAGAAAGATTTGCTTTCAAGTGACTCCGGTACGCTAGGGATAGAGGATTGAGTTTGGTCTGGAACTGTAGGTGTTTGGTTTTTCACCTCAGCAGGTTGCCTATTACTTTGCTCTGATGGGCGGGCAGAGCCATAAAGCTGAGATTGCAGGTTGAGAGGCGGTATGGGAATATCTTTTCTTTTGCACATCTTAATATGAGGAGCAATGTCATTTGCTGGAGTAATTGGAGCGATTTTCTCTTGTAGAAATACAACACCCCTCAGCTGAGTGTTGGTGTCTCCTACCCTGACATTGAGAAGATAGCCAGCATCAAATGAACCTTCAATCACTCCAGTGACTACCTGACCTACCATTTCACTCTCAACATCATCACTTGTACTCTGTTTGTTTTTCTTCAAACTTTCAGATCCAGGCACTGCAGTCGCGCTCTCTGCATGAACAAGATTCTCATCCTTACGTGGGCGTCCACGTTTTCGCTTCATAGGGGGGTCTGGCGAAGATAAAGAGCTCGTTCCTTGACTCTGTTGATTCATGTTGCACAGAAGCACGCAAAAGTAACAGATTTTGCACCAGTTCTAAAATTCTCCCCTGCAAGGAAAAAGGTAATCTCATGACCTTTCCTATCTGTAAGAACAAATGGTAACTGAAAACAGTATGATATGAGTATGACTACAGTACAAGATTGTTCTACAAATTTATAATATGATTGACAACAAACGGAAAGAAATGAAACTGAAATGAGTGCAAACATAACAATACGGTCCTGAACCATAGAGAAGCACCTATTCTTTCTTTACCAATTATAACACCATAATATTGTTTCACCTCAATCAACTTACAGATCTATCAAAAGTTTAAATTTTCATAACAACAGACAAATATGATTAACTTAATTTATATAGATCTAAAATCACACTCAAGAAATGCTTAGTCTAATTTGCAAAAGACCAAACATAGATCTCTTTGGAACTTCAGATCTCCACTTATACAACCTCAATCGATTGACAAATCTATAAAGAGCTTAAAGTTAATGCAATAACCAAGAAATATAACAATTAAATTTAATATAAAATCACACCGAAAAAATGCTAAGAAAGTCTACTTTGAAAAAGACCTCAGCTAGATCTCTCTGGATCATTATATCTCCATTGATTTATGTACAAAGTAAATGTTTATCCTTTTAACCCAAAAAAAACAACAAAAAAACAGTCAGAGCCAAGGCCTCAGAATTCTCACCAAGATTTATGATCAGGATGAAGGATTAAGCCGTCTTGACTCTTTCACGCTTGTGCCATTATCAACACTACTTAGGGGGGGTGAAGAGTAGAGTAGAGAGTGAGAGGGTCCGCAGCGCAGAAAGATGAAAGCTTCTTATTTATAAAGAACCCTAGTAAAAATGGCAAAGATCCACATTTGAAGAGCCCATGTAAGAGCTATAATTAACAATTTTACCTAAAAGAGAAAAAAAAAATTCTATAATTTGGGCCGGAAGTTTCCGAAAAACATTGTGTCAGGCCTGTAATGTAGTCCAAATTTTGGCTATTCCGAAGTTATCATAGCCCGGTGCATTCAAACCTCAGAAGCAGGAATGTCCTCCTAAAGGCACAGTCCAGAACAGACGTGCCCCTCACCCCCACCCCCTGTCATGTTAACCTTAGGAATTCCCAAGTAGAGTTGCTTCCTAGCCCCAAATCCTGCAATTCACTGATGGAATTCCATTAATCAGAGTAGTGTCTAATTTTCCTTCTGGACACCCCAAACTTCAGGCTCAACGAGCAAGCATTGGCAGCTCCACTTACTGCATTAAAGTGAGTATCCAACTAAAAGATAATATATGATTTCATGCATGTATAGAACCATGTTAGCTTTATCTTTTAGTTCATTGATGATATTTAATTTTGAGGAAGCTATTGAAAAGTTCACAATCATAATCATATACTTCCATTTTCTTTATGTGGTTCTAAGAATCTCCCAACATGTAAATGCCACAGATTAGAAGTTTTAACAATTGAATTCCCCAAAGCCGTGTAGGCATTAAGAGATTTAAGAAACTAACATAGGAACCATTGTTTGATAACCTTTTTTGTAAGTTAAATGTATTTATTAAATAAAATAAAATAAAAACCTAGCCTAGTACAGAAGCTGCATCCAAGAGCTTATAAACAGAAAGGAAGCAACTAAATCCACCAAGGAATTTGACCGATCAAAAGCCATCTCAACAATTGACCCCTTAATTCCATGATTGAATGTTCTAAAGCATCTAAAGCTTCTGTATTCCCCCGAAAACACAAGCACCACATACCACATAGTAAAGCATTATCAGATTTTCCCACAAAGCTATGACATCATTCTAGTAGCAAGTTTTGATCATATCCTGAAATAATCCAATTAAAATTCTAAATAATGACAACATAACCCCAACACTCCTAGGCCAAATGAGAATGTAATAATAGATGATACACCGATTCCCCAGAACCCTTCCACATGTAACACCCATGAAGCAAGACTTTCTACCATATCACCAAGATATCCACAATTATTTTTCCATGAGCAGAAAAAATCCTAAAGTACCTTCAGTGGCACATATGGAATTGAATTCATATATTATTTGAAAAGAGATAAATGTTAATTAATACAGTAGATTATAAAACTACTCACCATACAATAATTGAACTTAATGATACTATCACGGTTCGATTTTAAGCAATAAAATGAAATAAGTTAATTAGATATTTCAATCTCCTTATCTCTCAATGTTTTCTTCATGGTCACCATTACATAATTGTTTCTCCTTTTATGCATCTTTGCATTCTCATTCATAACACGTTTAAACTCTAATGTCTGCAATGTCCCAAGTTTCAGAAACCTTGAGGAAGTAACAATACATCTCTTATTCAAAATAAGTTTAGAATAATTGGATTATGAAAGTGTGAATAAATGAATTGAATAGTCAATATTACAAGCACTAACAAGCATAAATGAAGGAGAAAGTTTTCCAAGTTTGTGTTAGACAAATTTGGACACAAAAATATTAAAATAAACATTCTAGCTCCAAGTGAACTAAACAATTGTTTGGAAGCAAATAAACCCAAAAACAGACACCCTATGAACAATAAAGAATTTAACAACGTAAATGTATAAGCACACATGCACCAAAAAATATTCAATCTTTAAAAGAAATACAATAAGTAGAATCTGTTTCTGATGGAAACAGTCCTTCTTTTCCACTTCATTACTCATCTCACTCAATCAAACAAACATGTAATTTCAGCTCAGTCATGAATCAGCCCGCATAAACAAAGAAAAGGGTCTCCCTGGTTCCTCAGATCAAAACCCTAAAGCTACCCATATCAAATATAGTAATATTTCACTGATGCATTGATGAAATCAAAACAAAAATGCAACGCCAAAGAAATTACAATCACCACAATGCTAACACAGGTTGAAGCACTTACATGTGGCTGGCGAGGAAACGAGAAGCGCAAATCAATCAAGAAAATCCAAAATCCGTGGCAATGGTGGGAAAATCGTTTTCCTGTTCGTTTTTTTATTTCATTTGTTTTTTATTTCTTTCTTTCTTGGGCTTCTTTATTTTTTGGGGCCCAGAACAAGGCTCTGTTTGGGCGTGGGATTCTTTAAACCAGGAATTGGCGCTGGAACCTATTCCCAGGTGTTTGGACGCGGGAATTACGGTCGCGTAAGTCTAGTGGGCCGTAACGTTTTTCAGCCCATCTTGATTGGTATGGGCTTAGAGACTCTGTGAGGCCCAAGTTTTACAATGTGTGTGTGCCTACCGAAAGATCCAAGAGCCCAAGAGGCAAAGAGGGTACGTGTGTTGCGCACGAGATAGCTACGAAAGCTATGGCCACGAATTTTTGCAATTAAAGCTTTCTTCAATTCATCTCGTATTTGTCTTCGCGTCGCGTCCTCTCCAACTTTCTCTGAAGTCTGAGCCACAACCATGGCTTCTCTGTTAGCTAACGGTATTTCAAGCTTCTATCCTCAAGCTGCTTCAGAGCAACCGAAGCTGCTCCCAAAAGGGTTTCATCCAAAGCTCGATTTTTTGAAGCTTTCGGGTCAGAAAACCTCTGTTCCGAAAAGGGTCTTCAAGGTCCGAGCAGATGTTGGGTACGACCCGAAAACGATCGACCCGGATGTCTCACAAGGTAAGCTCTCAATCGAGGAATTTCTTCGTAACCGTGAGTACGACAAGAAATTTGGGTTTAATATAGATATAGATTCGTTTTCGATTCCGAAAGGGCTTTCTAGGGAGACCATACGCTTAATCTCTTCGCTGAAAGAAGAGCCTGATTGGATGCTTGAGTTTAGATTGAATGCTTTTGAAAAATTCTTGACTATGAAAGAGCCCAAATGGTCTGATAATCGATACCCTGTGATTAATTTTCAAGATATGTGTTATTACTCAGCACCCAAGAAGAAACCCGCCTTGAATAGCCTCGATGAGGCAGACCCAGAACTTCTTAAGTACTTTGATAGATTAGGAGTGCCGTTGAATGAGCAGAATCGATTGGCTAATGTTGCAGTCGACGCAGTTCTTGATAGTGTGTCGATAGCCACGACACATAGGAAGGCATTGGAGGAAAAAGGCGTGATCTTTTGTTCAATATCGGAGGCGATTAGGGAGTACCCGGATTTAGTTAAGAAGTATTTAGGTAGAGTTGTGCCCACTGGGGATAATTATTATGCTGCCTTGAACTCTGCGGTATTCAGTGATGGGTCATTTTGTTATATACCCAAGGACACTAAGTGCCCGATGCAAATTTCAACTTATTTTCGGATAAATGCATTGGAGACGGGGCAGTTTGAGAGAACTTTGATAGTGGCTGATGATAGGAGTTTTGTGGAGTATTTGGAGGGGTGTACTGCACCTTCTTATGATACAAACCAGCTTCATGCTGCAGTAGTGGAGTTGTATTGTGGTGAGGGTGCAGAGATTAAGTACTCCACAGTGCAGAACTGGTATGCCGGGGATGAGCAAGGGAAGGGAGGGATTTACAATTTTGTCACCAAGCGAGGGCTTTGTGCTGGGGCTCGCTCAAAGATATCTTGGACCCAGGTCGAGACAGGGTCTGCCATTACTTGGAAGTACCCAAGTGTTATTTTGGAGGGTGATGATTCTGTGGGTGAGTTCTACTCAGTAGCTTTGACTAATAATTATCAGCAGGCAGACACAGGTACAAAGATGATACACAAAGGCAAAAATACGAGAAGTAGAATTATTTCAAAGGGCATATCAGCTGGGAATTCAAGGAACTGTTATCGGGGCCTTGTGCAGGTTCAATCAAAGGCAGAGAATGCTAAAAACTCCTCACAGTGTGATTCAATGCTTATTGGAGACAGTGCGGCTGCCAACACCTACCCATATATCCAGGTAATTTACTTTGATCTCGCCTCTTTTGTTTTTGGCATTAAGATCACGTATGTTGGTGTTTTTGGTTACAAGGTTACCTTAGTGTGATGGTTAATTAGATTGATCCTTCATGGGATGACATTCTTGCATTACTTTGTGTTACTCTGCCCTTCTGCTGAGCCCTGGCCCTCCCATCTTGTGCCAACTGTATTTTGTTTAAATAATTCACATGAGTTTGGTGTTAGCAATTGGAGAAGAACGTTTAAAAGTTGGTTTGCTTTTGGAGAAAGGTCTGATGAGTCTGGTGTTCAATATGTAGGTCACTTGCTTGCCTAAGATGCTATTGAGATAGTTACCAAGATTAGTCAATAGTGTTAGTCGAAAAGATTAGACATACTGATACAACACTGCCTTTATTGACCCAAAAAAATACTGCCTTAGGCACATATTGCACTAGTTATTCAAACTATTTCCAGCACATTCAAGACTTCCCGTATCTGGTGAAAATCTAATATATTCTAGGTAGATTACAGAATTCTTAAGTTATATGGTCCTTATCTTACTGCCATTACAATTTTTTGGCTGATAATTGCATTCAGACTATAATTATATAAATATATATGGCCATAATTGGCCTCTATAATTTGCAGTAAATACATTTTTTTGGGTGATAATGGCACTAAATGGTATAATTCTTTTGTTGGTTGGTTCAAGGATTAGCCAAGTGGCTGTTTTTGCATTGGTTTCATCTCAATTACTAAATTCCTTTCCAAAGTTGTTGGTTTTCATCCAGTTAGTGCCCATAGAATGTCAAACTATCATGGATATTTTTTTTTAAATTCCTTAATGAATTCATCTCATGTGTTTAATAGGTCAAGAATCCCTCAGCTCGTATTGAACATGAAGCCAGTACCTCCAAAATTGGTGAAGACCAGCTATTTTACTTTCAGCAAAGGGGAATCGACTATGAGAAAGCCATGGCCGCTATGATATCCGGGTTTTGCCGGGATGTATTCAATGAGCTCCCTGACGAGTTTGGGTCTGAGGTGAACCAATTGATTGGTTTGAAGCTTGAAGGATCTGTGGGTTAGACAACAGCAATGGTTTATGCAAATAAGCTGAGTCGAGGAAATTCAATCTTTTTGTCAATTTGTTACAATCAAATTCAAGTAGATTGCAAGAGACGTTTTAGCTGATAGCTATGTTGTGAAAATGGCTCGAAGATGGAAAGTATGTACATAGATATTTGTTGTAAATGTGTATCCTCTACTGTCAAAGTACCTACTGTAACGTATTGAGATAGAATTTGAGATTTATTACTTATCTTTAATATATAAAAAATCCGTGTGTAATAAAAGCTCTCTAACGGATGTGTATGTCAAATAACGTATGATCAGAATTTATTTAAAGAGTATAGCCGCGCGGCTATACTTTTTAAATATATTTAAATATTTTAATAGTATAGCCGCACGGCTTTACGTTTTGAATTTATTCAAATATTTTAACGGTATAGCCGCCCGGCTCTACTCTTTAAATATATTCAAATATTTTAATAGTATAGCCGGGCGGCTATACTCTTTCTAAACAAACACGAAGCTTGCACTCCTATTCTGAGTTAGCCATTTCACTTCTCTATAATCGCTTCCAAGCTTCAAAGACTCAGTCTTGAGCCTCTTTCAACTCAAGCTTAGATTTTTTTTTCTTTAGTTTCGGCTGCTGCGTTGATTTTCTTGGATTGGGCTCTTTCAATGTCTGCCGAGGCAAAGCCTTCGTCCTCCGGGTACGTGCCTGGTGACGTGGACGACTACATTTTGGTGAGTGTGGTTTCTCTTTTTTGGTTGCTAAGAAAATATTGGGAAACCATGAAGAAATTGAGTGATTTGTTTATTGGAAGGAATTATGTTTATTTAACAAAACATAGATATTAAGTATATATTGTTTAATACCAGCTGGCTATGCTATGATATTCGGTTTGTGAATTTCTAAAGTGTTATATTATTTTATCTTTTGTGTGGTATTTTGTAGCAACCTTCTTCAGGAATATTTTCAAGGTTCTGCTTGGAACATTTGGGGAGGATCTTTATCTCTAGATCAACATATCTTATTTACTTGTGACAATTTGTCTTTATTCAAGCCATGAAAATTTTCAGTCTATATGTAATGCCAGTGTACATAAGAATAGTTTCTTTCCCTATTCTTGTGTTCAGTGTCTCTATGTGCCCTTTTGATATATGATAGTCTCTCTTTATAGATTGAAGACAACCTAAGAGACTTCTCGTCGTGGAAGCGATGATGCCATCACCACGAGATCCTGAGCGCTTCAACTTCTGGGTAACTTTATATTTCTCTTTATTAAAATTGAGTATATTGTGGGCTATGATTGCTGGTATTAATGTATGATTGGATGCAGCTTACTTCTTTATCAAACCGGCGTCCTCGTGAAAGGTTGGATTTCCTATGCTTACGAGATACAAGATAGGTATTGCACTTTTCTCCCCTCTTCACATTGGGAATTTCAAGTGTACGTGGGTATTGTATATATAAGAATGAGATGCTACTTCTCATCTAACACATGTTGTTTGAAATCTCATTTAGAATAGTTCGTATATCAATGCCATACGACCTCTGATACCTTCAATGTATTTCAAAACATAGCTGTAAACTTCTCTTCGTTGTCTCATTAGACTATTTTGTATCCAATTTTTCATATGCAAATAATACAATATATCTCATAGCATAAGAGCAAGGTTGTCAAGTGCAATGAGAAAAAGGTTGTAATTGGGTTTAGTTCATAATTACGATGGATACATTTTAGAAAGTAAATTCTTATACAAGCAATTTTATACTCTGAAATTCAACATTCTTGATCAACAAAATGTTAGTGGATCCCTATTTTTTGTTGTATTTATGAGTTTAACCCATATTATTTATTATCAGAAAGAATTTAAATTCTCATTCCCCAATATCGCTTGTATAATTAAAATAATTGAATAAATAACTCAAGCCCAATGGGCTAAAGTGGTATTTTAGCCCTAAACCCTAAAATAATATGACATAATTGTATATCTATATTCAAATATATTCAAAACGAACGCGAAGCTGAAAGATGTAATTCTGTTAAAGGTCTCTTACAGAGCCTGAGATGTTTCAGTATTGATCACTCAATCAATCCTACAAATTAA